ACTTTTATATTCATTAATAATACTGGCCCAGGGATGTAAAAAAAAAAAATAAAATTTTAAAGTAAAAGTTTTAAAATTCAAAAATTTGTAAACAAATTTGTCCGTTATTTTCGTTTTTAAAATTCCTTTTAAATAATTTCAAGGCCCATATTTAAAACTTGGATTTATTAATGCTAAAGAAATCTCGTTAGCTATTCCTCCAAGTTGCAAATTTGGGCAGGGGTGACCTCATTTTTTCAAAAACAACCACTACAAAATGGGAAAGAAAAGAAAATTTGGGTTTAGAAGATTTAAAAGGGTATTTATTTTTCCTAAAACCATTTTCTTCAATCAAAGGTTTTTTTCCCGTTTTCCCCAAAAATTTTTATAAGATTGCGCGTCTTTTTAGCTTTTTTCAAATTAATTTTCAAGTGCATTAATTTTTTTCACGATAAATGCCCCAACATGAAACACGAAATTTCTTACACGTCAATGAAAGAAATTACTTCTTTTGTTCAAAAATAGTTCAACATATTTGATCCCTTCTTTTTGTTTATTTGGGTTGTTTGGGAAAGGAAAAAAGACAATTATTTTTTCTTGTATTTTTTTACCCAAAAAATTTCACTCATATAAAAAAGATTTTTATAAAAATTTTCAAATGTTTTTTTCGGCCCCACTCTTTTTAATTAATAAAAACCTCTACGCCAAAACTTTTTCTAAAACGCCACAATGCACAAAAATTGATATCTAGCCCCCCTAAATACATTTTAAAAAGAGGTAAAACCAAATAGAAAAATGTATTTCAGGGGGGCCCGGCATTTTTTAAAAAAACCCTTGTTATTTTTTATTAAATATTAGGCTTATTTTAAATAAAGTTTATGGGCTGTTTCCCGAATAGTTCAGTAGATAGGAAAAGATTCTTTTCTTTCATATTTTTTGTATTAATGTTTAAAATTTTTGTTTTTCCCCTTTTAAATTAAAAAATTTTAAAAAAATTTTTTGGGTGCGTTATCTTCTCTGTTTTGGGTTTAAACTCGTAACAACATATTTTAAAGTTTCCATGCTATTGGTTTTTAGTTATGTTGTAAAAATTAAATTTCCCCAATATTTGTCTACTTTTTGGAAAAAGAGTGGGGCGAAAATTTCATGTATCCCTTTTTTAGTTGGAAAAATTTTTACTCCATTGTCTTGAGATATTTTATATTGGGATCATTTTTTCAAGGGCCCAAACTTTTTGGGAAATTTCTTGCACAAAAAAGCCCCAAAAACATTGAAAGACATTTTGACTTTTTGTAATTCAAACAAAGTAAATTTTCTTGGTATTTTTTAAAAAAAGCCCCTTTTGAAAATGTTTACATTTTAAAGGATAAAAAACATGATTGCGTTGTATTTTAAAATTGGGATTGCCCTTTAAAAACCATTTTTAAAAACTGGGGCCCTAGCAGAGAAAAAAAAAAAATTGTGAAGAGACGTTTATTTTTTTTTTCGGGGTTTGGGGGAAAATTATTGAACATAAACAAAATTTTTTAGGAAAAAGCTTCCAAGAAACATTTCATGCTTTAGAAATGATTTTTAAATTTAGGCGGGGGAAAAAAACAAAATTTTGAAAAACTGTTTTAACTGTTAAACACATATTCGAAAAGTTTTTTCATTTTATGGTAAATAACGCTTGAAAAATTTTCAATAATTCGGATAATCGAAAACAAAACCCTAACCAAAAGGGATTAATATGGCTTTCTTTACTAAATCAAAAAAAAATATTTAAAACTTTTTAAATGTATCACAAATATCCGAAATCATCTCATTCTTGTTCAACCATGTATATGACATTTAAAATTGATAAAAAATCAAATGTATCACAAACATTTTGGCATCTCAAGAATATTATTTTTGAGATTAAAATTTTTTAGAAATTTAAAAACATGTCCAAAAAAAACTTTGAAAAAAATCAAAATAGAAAAAGGGTAGGGAAATTGTCCCTTTGGGAATTTTAAAACCAAACAAGTCCTTTAAAAAATAATAAAACTAGGGAATGTGTTATGTCTCTCTAAAAAACATGTCGCTTTTAAAAAATAAAAAAAAGCGTGGTCGAATTCTTATTCCTTTTTAATTTGCATTGCAATAATGTAAAGTCAGGAAAAAAAGGAAAAAACCTCTTCAATTTTTATCATAGCTCAGAGTACAAAAAGTATTGTTATTAGCAAAACATATTGCATTGGGATCTCAGCTTTTCACGAAATATTTATTAAACAGAAATACACAAAAATTAAAAGAAAAAAAATTGAATTGAAAATGCTCACCTATTTTTTGCATTCTGAAAGTGATTGATGTTTATTTCATGCATAGCATGCAGTTTTGGATAAAGTGAAATTTAAAAGGAACTGGAAGGCTTTTAAGAATATTCATAGATTTTGGAACCGAAGCTTTCTATTTTATCTAGCAAGTCAATACCAAAAACAGTACTGTATGGAATGATACATGAGCTATAATTATTATTGTAGAGAGTTGTTTCTGGACACACGCATTATTTGATATCAGTCGTTAAAGGTTACTAAAATAACACATGTTTATTAAAAAAAAAAAATTTAAAGAAATTTTTTAAAAATTTATTAAATTAAAAAGTAGGCCCATTTCAAATGCATAAAAAGGGAAAAATAAAATAAAAAAAAAAAAAATAGGTGAACAAAATGGAAAAAAATGGAAAAGTCCAAAAAAAATAAGAATAGATACAACAAAAATTTTTTTATAAATCATACGAAAAAAAAAAGTGCAAAAAAATTACAGTGTTGGAAAAATTTTAACAGGAAAGTAAATTTGTGACATTATCAGGGAAATAAATTTTTTGTTTTTTTTTAAAAATTTTCAAAAAAAAAAGAGGAATCGTTATATAATTATTTCCTTGTTAAATTTAAAATCAAAGAACAACAACCCGGTGTTACGATTTCCCTATCTGATTTTCTCCCCCATTTAATTTGTTTTACTTTTGAGGGAAACAAACATTAAGTTATTTTGATATTGCACTACAAAAATCTCGATTGAAACTTATAAAAAATTTGTAAAAAAAATACTCCTTTTTAAAAACCTAAAAAATGGGTTTTCAAAGTAAACAAATAAAAAAAACAAAAAAAAAAAAAAAAAGAATTTTAAAAAGAAAATGAAAACATTTTTTTTTGGATTATTTTTTTTGAAAAAAAGTTATAACATTTAAAAAAGTGGGTTAACAGTTTCCCATTAAAACCCTTTTTAAAAAGTTAAGGGGGATGAATTTATATTTCTTATTAATTTGGAAATTAAAAACCTTTAAAATATAAATTATTTACATTTGAAAAAATTTTAACAGGAAAAACCCGAACAAAAAATTTTCTTTTTAAAAAAAAGTTTTTATATTGAATAATATTTTTTTTGGTCTATATAGTTATAACATTCATTTGGAGATGATTTCACGATTCGTTTTAGTTTTCAATAAATGGTTCTTTAGAAAAAATATTGATACCCATTAAACCAGTTATCTTACAGATATAAGACATTCGCGTATATCGATTGAATACGTAATTGTTAAGGACAGACATGTGGTGCTCAATTTAATTAAATCAAAACATTACCTTTTTCTACCCACACAGTGTATTTGTTTTGTTCTTCATTTATAATTATAATTGTCAGTTATTGCCGACATAGAGAACGACACTTACTGATGTCCTTCACATTCTGGAAATGGTTGGTCCCATGAGACTAGTGAGACACAAATTTAAGCAAATAGTTTTCAATTACAGGGACTGTTTGTGAGACGTCATCTTACGAACAAGACATTATGAAAACATTGCAATACCTTTGTAATGCGTTAGAAATCGCGAATTTTATAAAATTCCTTTTTTAAGTTTAACATGAAATTTAAATCTGTAAGACTTATAGTATGTATTTCAAAACCGGCCCTAGTAAAATACAAACAACTGTTTGGTAGTATTTTCTGTTGGTATGGACAATCGTTTAGATATCAGACAATTAAAACATTTGTATTATGGGATATCGCGTACATGATAAAATCATTTATGAAATTTCTGACTTTAGCTATTAATCACAAGATGTTAACAAGAAGAAAAACACCAGTGAATTGTGCATGGCGTTTCAAAGCCAAACTCATTATTAGCAAAAATATGAAGAAAAAAGAAAGTCTTAAAGGATGGCTATTTATAAAAACAAAAAAAAACAGGTTATTAATTGGTTTATTTCAGTAGAGCGATTGTTTAAAAGACTACGATAAGAAAAGATTTAAGTGTCAATATATGAAGACAACTATTATCAAAACGTATGTTCATAGAACTTCCTCTTCTCGAAATTCATGATGTAATATATATATTATGTCATTCTTGGGATACTCTGCAGTTCCGTGTATGTATTTCCTTCTTCACCAGATTCATTTAATTGTTCGTACAAAGATGTTTCATAGTTACTACTTCGATTATAATTTCAAAACGTATGTTCAAAGAACTTCTTCTTGTCGAAATCCATGATGAAATATACATACTATGTCATTCTTGGGATACTCTGCAGTTCCGTGTATGTATTTCCTTCTTCGCCAGATTCATTTAATTGTTCGTACATAGATGTGTCATAGTAACTATTTCGATTATAACTTTCATCAGCTGATATTGTCTGGGATTCGTTAAACCCCTCTGAAATAAATAATTTAATATTTTCATTAATTTACTTACAAAAAAGAGAAAAACAGAATCCTTAAAGAAAGCCAAACAAGGCAAAATTGAAAACCGACACGGGCTCAGTTTCAATGTAACATCAGTAGCTGCTGTTCGTTGTAGCATTATCTTTAAGCATAACCATGGATAAAATCATTTGACATTCAAAGACAAAATATTTCATATTCTTACAATATATCTATGCTTACCAGATTGTCGTGCTTCACTTGTTTCTGTTCTTTGTTTACGGCTGAAATTTACAAAGAATATTGTTATTTTAAGATTTCCGTATTAGTACATGGTATACAAGGAAATATAATACAAGTTTAGGAAAAGTGAATTTATAAGAAAATAATGTTTATTGTTTTAAAGTGATAGTTATTCAAACATCACGTATGTATCAGACTTTGTTAAAAAAATATGAATTAAAGTATAATTATTTATGTTGCCTCAGACAACACCAATTATTGAAAAGTTGTCTGTTAACCCTGGTAACGCTTATTTCTTATAAAAAGATAACTACCTGATATATCTGTAACCCATAAAAGTCAATACAACGGCAACAATGGTAAAAACAAAGGTTCCAAAAGCGACACCAATTAATGTCAAAGTATTTGTACATACCGAACATTCTGGAGTGGTACATGTTACCGTTTCTTTTCGTTCTGTAATGTTTTAAAAATAACAACGCAACACTATAAATATACATGTTTAGAAATAATACAAGTTTTGATTACAATTCGACACACTAACCTATACTATACATATAATGTGTGTGGCATAAGCCCGAAAAATTCTCAATGTACAGTATGATTGGCAAAATCATGAAAATAAGGTCTTTATTTTGTGTAGTTTTGACATTTCAAAGAAAAGACAAGAAGTTAAGAATAAATAAAATCCTTAAAAAGAAATGGGACAGTAAGGGTATACATATATTTGCTATCTAACATGTTTGTAGAGCAATCTGCTAATCTTATAACTATTGTTTATGACTTACGTTGTATTGTATATACATGACTAGTCAATAAGCTTTTAACCTCCAATGGATAATCTTCGTGGTATATTTGAATTTTAAATGAAACTGTCTGAGAGCCACTTCCATTTCCTTCAGTATGTATAAAACCTGTTGTTAAAGATGTTAGTGAATCGCCGTCACATTGATTGCATGAAGAATTGTTGGCATCGAAAATTGATCTACCTTGTTCAATCATATATTCTGTTTCAGATCCATCCTTAAATAAAATATTATATCCAATATTAAAGTAACATTGTGCTCATTTTTTCACTGTCAAGTTGATTAAGTAATATATTTCCAAAGATTGACTTTTAAAAGGATGATTGACCAACAACTGATAAAGAAAAATGTTATGATACAATATATAAACGATCTAAATTATAAAAAGACAGTCCCACTCGTTTTAAGAATTGCACAATTCCAATACATTCTAAAGGATATTTATAGACATTTCCGTTGGTAGTGTAGATTATTGGTTATTTTTTTCTTATTTAAATGTAAAATAGAACCAATTAAGGCAAAATGTCAAGTTTTTTAACCTGTGCACCGACCATTTAGTTGTGGATGAGCACAATGTCACTTTAACATAACAGGCGAACTAAGATGTTTTGAGAGATGAAAATATATTTGATTACTTTACGATTGAATTTGCATCTTATGGCCGCATTTACAATTGCACGATTTCTTTTATATATGTCGTAGAAATATAATTTATTTCTAAAACATTCTAAACACATTGTTCACTAAATACGGTTGGTGTAGATACAAAGTTTGCCGAAAATATGCATCAAAGAATGAAGAAGGTATCCGCTTTGTGCGGACGCTGACACTTTATTTGACGCATTGTTTCATTCCGCTTAGAGCTTCATAGTTAAACACATCTATCTAAGATAGGGTACAGTAAAACAACAACATATTGAAATGTAACCAAGTGCAAGTATTGCTAAAACAATTACTTACCATTAGGGACAAATTGTGCAAGAACGATATCTATTTACATAATTTTGTCATGTCATAAATTTATATGCGATCTTGAGCATAGAAAGACACATGGCATGAAATAAAGAAACTGTATGCAGAGATTCTAAGCCACAAAATAAACCTGCCTTTTTTCTTTCCTTTCCTTGAACAATGAGTGAGCACCTTAGGTTCTGTAGTCTATTACTACATCAAATTGCATTGTCTATGTTGTATTGTCCACAACTAAATGAATGACGCAAGAATGAAATCTTCAGATATTAATGGCTTACCGGCATGCAGACAGTGTCTTAACATAAGTTGTGGAGAAAATATGAAAGCATGCGCCCTGTAAGATGAAGTGACAATATGCAAATAATATGTTTATACTTATGGTTCATTAGGTAAGTATTTAATTTATCAATCAAGTTCAGGATAGCGCCTTTTTTTTAATTTTAGACCTGGTCAGTTATTTGCCGAGAAAACACTTGTTAACTCCCTCCATATCAATTTTGTTCCTACGCTTAACTATAAAGCAAGGAATGATTTGCATGTACTTACTTTGACAATAAACCATTTGTATTTCAACTTCGAATACTCAAATATGCAAGCGGTGGTTATTGATATTTTACCATTTGAGTAGCTGGAAGTCGGTTCGCTGAGTGAAATAGGTGTTGTTGAATCGAATTCTAAAACAAAATGTTATATAAATGTTTTAAGAAAAGATACAAAATGTCTGATTAGAGCAATATTTTTATTATAATTAATGAAAAAGAATACCACCATAAGTCTTATAAGTATATACATGATATATTTATGCAAAAAAGAATGATTGCATTTCTATGGATATTGTTAAATAAGTTGTTTCTTTTCTGTCAATAGAATTTGCCATGCTGTAGTTGGTTTTCTTTTCAGTTGACATGTCACAGAATTGATGTGTGAGCTATTGGTTTTGTAACATTTTATTTGGTTAGGATTAGATATTTGTGAAGTAAATAAATCATATTTTTTTGTAGTTTGGATTGATTTCCTGTGTTTTATTTAAATTTTGTATAAGTTGTTTTAGACATAATTTACCGTCCCGGTAATTAATACTTTTTAAAATGTTTGATATAGTTTGCTTACTAGGACAATGTGTCATTGATAATAAATGTTTTAGATATTTGTGAAGTAAATTTTCCAGATTTTTATTGTGTTTTGTCATTGATTTCTAGGGTTTTATAAAGATATTTTGAAAGTTTTTTAGACATAATTTATCGAATAGGTAATACATACTTTTTAATGTTAACTTTGTGATATAGTTTGCTTACTAAGACAATGTGTCATTGATAATAATTGTTTCGTTTTGTTCAAAGCTGCCTTAAACACGCGGTTGTGCCTATTTCCCTATCTTTGCTTACTATGTAAATTATAATCAAAAATAGATTTCTTCTGACAGTTATATTCAAAGAGGGTGACACATTTAACAGTAAGTACATGTACAAGACTGCATCCTTTTGCGCAATTAATATACTTTTATTGCTCCAAGAACGGGCAATTTTTCAGACATTATATTATAAAGTGAGGAAACGTTTCTCCAAACTAACAGATGTTTTTACGTAATGTTTACTGTACTTACAAACATTTGCATTAGCTTTTGCATTATAAGAATCTTTTTTTACAATCAACATGATGCCTTATTGATTTTCTTATAAGAAAACATCTTTTGAGATGATACATTATATTCATAAATATTTTTACTCATTCAAAAAGGCAGATATTCAGAAGTACAAACGTTAATATTATGCTGGTAGAGATTTTATTTAGACTTGAGCATGATACTTGCAATAATGTATCATATAAAGAGAAAAATCTTACTTAAAGGTGATGGTCTTGCAGATATCAGATCAGCTGAATTTCTGATATCTTTACAGGTAATAGTTTCGCAATCTCTATATCTGTAGTTAATAACTGTCATCTTATATAATGATGCTGACTCATTAATAGAAAATATGAAACCATTTATAGTTGGCAAACATTGCACAGATGGTAAACAATGCTCTAGTATGGTACCATTTGGATAAAGCCAAGAAATACCATAACCAGAATATTTACATATGCATGTTACACTTGCAGGTGCTAATGTGTCAACAGCACCACAAGTGAGCTCCATATCACCTGAAAAAGAAACAGGTTATATAACCCAGAAATCGTTAACAGGTTGTGTGTGTGTGTGCGTGCGTGCGTGCGTGCGTGCGTGCGTGCGTGTGTGTGTGTGTGTGTGTGTGTGTGTGTATTTGGTATATCATAAGTATATATTTTATGAGGTGTAAAATCATAAGGTATATATTTGGTATATCATAACTATATATTTTATGAGGTGTAAAATCATAAGGTATATATTTGGTATATCATGAGTATATATTTTATGAGGTGTAAAATCATTAGGTATATATTTGGACAGGAATACATGTAATTTGTAAACCTATATTGGACGAGTCGCCTGGCGAGTCCAAATTGTTTTTTCTGTGTACAGACATCATTCGGATACTTTATCGTTATCGGCTTTTATCCTTAATGGTACATAAAAATTCATATTGGATAGTGTCCAGTACAGAAAATACAAGTATATTGGACGGTAACGAGGCTCATTTCGAAAGCAAATAATCGGTGTGGAAATAATATAAGATAAATATTGTCAAACAAGAAGCTGACATGTAAAGAGAACATCTGTATTCAATAACGCACTGGCATTTATTCCCCAAAATAATAACAAATATCTTTACAGTTTAGTGACCGGCTAAACAATATAAACTCTGCTCACAGATTCTAGATAAAATATTAACCCTTGTTATTAGTTTGTTTTCTTCGTTTTTTTAATATGAATTGCAATTTTTATTAGTTTTAAAATGTCCGTATGATATCCGGTTTCTAATAGCTTCTAGCTAAAGCCATTTTCAAAGGAGAACACTTAAAGACCCATTAGAAATAAAAAGTTAAACGTTACGTACGCTAAAACATAAAATCGTTACGTACATGTATTTCAAAGCATACATTTCAAAAAGGTAGGCAAGAACTTCACCTTAATCTTGCGTTTATTTCTGCATATCATTAAAAATAAAACTTAAATAATTTAGGTATATATGCGGACACTTTCCAACTTTATAAAATGTAAAAATCATTTTTAAAACTGATGGCTTATCACTGTATATAATTTATTCTGTCCGCTAACCGTAATGTTGTTAAAGGGACTCCACTAAGGTTTAAAAGCCTTAAAACATAACATTTGAATTTCTTACATAAATGAGCTGGGGCACTTTAAACAGAAATATAAATTATTCAAAGATAGTTAAGAAAAATACTTTGAAATGAATTGAAAAAAACGTGTTTTTATGCTTTTCTAAGACAGATTTGAGTGAAAGGTGTTTAAACGCTTTTCATTATGTTCATTTTTGGGTCCTTTTTTTACAGTTTGAATAATTATTCTGAAAAAAAAAAAAAGTGCGCGAATGATCTGAAATTTTGCGCGGAGATTACTGGTCTAAACCTACATCAAATGGTTCATTTATCTGGAATAAATATTTTCAGTGCCATCATTTCAAAAAACCTCAGCGGAGTCTATTTAAAGATACAAAAAATGAATGAGCGTCAATTTGGTAGGTAGTTGGTAGTTGGATATTCGAATAACCAGCTACCTACTAGCTGATAGTTGGTAATTCGTAATTCCCAACTGTTCAACAGCTAGTAGTTGGCAATTCAATCCACTATCACCAGCATGAAATGTTAGAACACATCATACATTTTTAAACACAGAATAAAGGAGGGAACCTAGTTGTTAATGCGCGAATCCCAAACTATCTAACAGCAGAAGTTCGAATTACCAACTACCTTGTGGTAGGTAGGTAGTTGGGGATTCAAACAAATAACCAACTGGGTCCCCTTGTCGACGTCGGGAGACGGGGTGATACCATTTGTTAAAATTCATCTATCTATCTATCTTGTCATATATCTGTTACTTTTTGTGTGTGTGTTTTTTGTTTTTTGTTTTTTTTTTCGATTTTTTAGAGACTACCCACCAGAAGTTCGAATAGCCAACTACCTTCTGGTTGGCAGTTTGGGATTCAAGCTAACAACCAATTGAGTTCCCAGGTCGATTTATGGTGAAGGGTGTGTTACCATATTATACATATAGAAAACACATATTGAGTTATGTAACGGTAACATTTGTTTCAGAAAAATTACTTTGTTTTCGGAGGAATATATGCAATATCCGAATTACCAACTACCTTCCAGTATGTAGTTTTGTATACAAGCGAAAAACTAACTAGGTCCCCTGGAGGACATAGGGAGACGGGTTTTCTCAATGTTGAAGAATACATATATCTTGCTATATACCCGTCATATTTATTCTGGAAAAAACACTTTCTGTTATCATGGGTAAACATGCAAAGTTTGAGTTGCCAACTACCTTCTGATAGGTAGTTGTGGATTCACGCAAATAACCAACTGTGTGCCTTGGTCGATGTATGGTGAAGGGTTGTTACCATATTATGGAAACACATATCTTGTTATATAACCGTAACATTTGTTAACCGTTAATATCCATGCAATATCCGAATTACCAACTACATTCTGGTAGGTAGCTGAGAATTCACGGGAATAACCAACTGTCTGCCTTGGTCGACGTAGAGTGCGGGGTAATACCATTTGGTAGAATTCATCTAACGTGTCTTTGTTTTTTTGTTTTTTTTTTTTTTGTTGTTTTTTTTTTTTGCATATTTCGAAATTCATTTGCTAATTTACGTGGATTGAAAGTGTTCTTTGCAATATGTATTTTAGTTTCTTTGTTCACTCGAAAATGTTTTACCTTTAATTTACATTATTTTTTTTTTAAATTTCATGAAAAATAGTACTAGTATGAGGCTGGAGTTTTGCTGCTTTGACATACTTTTTTCACCTAATTTCCACTAACAGCGTTATCTTTAACATGTGAAAATTAGAGTCTCAAACCATCATTTATCATTAACAACAAGTATTAATTTCGCTTACTTACTGTCAATATTGGAACTACGATTCTATTTAACGAAACATGTTTTTTTCTGGCATGTTTTTTATTGCATGTCAATACCAGTGTTACTTATTTTCTTTTTACTACTCGTTTTTTGTAAAGTCCTTTATCATAACCCCTCGAGCAAAGACATTGTAAAACAATTTAAAGCTAACAGCTATATTAACTATTTAGGTGTGAAAATTAAATTGCATTACTCAATTTCAAGCAGGGCATTACTGACACACTGACACAAGACACTACTGCAATACTGACACACAGGACACTACTGCAACACTGACACAGGACACTACTGACACACTGACACACAGGACACTACTGACACACTGACACTACTGCAACACTAACACACAGGACACTACTGACACACAGGACACTACTGAAACGCAGAACAATTCTCAAACACTAACACAGGGTACTCAAACACTGACACGCAGGACATTACTAAACACAGCAACACAGCACTACTGACACGCAGATGCAGCGCTACAACAATGAAACACAGGAGTACTCATACCCTGATACGCAGGACATTATTTAAACACTCACACACAAGGCACTACTAAAACACTGATGCCAAAAAGATACTTCTCAAACACTGACACGCAGGGCACTACTAAAACACTGACACACAGGGCACTG